TATTTTATGGTATTCTGTGATGGCGTCAGTGGTCCGAAAAATGCATTTCCATTCGGCTGCTGCTCTGGTGTACACATGAACAATTTATGTGTTCCTCGATATGTTTGTCTTTGCTGTGCTATTTTTCAAACCATGTCCATGAGTGTCAGTGTTATCCATAACATTACTTATCATGTTACTCTACGTACAAGTTACGGTGTAGTTAGCGAATTTGTCTGCTGCCAGGCGGTAAATACCATGTTGTCCTTTGTTAAATAGCACTACCAAGATATTGGAAATAAATTTTTCTCCGGAGTGTATTGCTTTAATGCGATCCTCACAATTATCATAAGTAACTAGTACATGCAATTACTCACGACAGTAACGTTTGCATGTGAAATCCTTCTGTCAGCTGATCAGAAATTTCCCTACCTGGGTGAGTGGTTTCGTAGAGCCAAGCGGTATGTTGTCAGAGGTGAACGCATTGAACTCAACTATTTGGAATTGTATAGTAAAGTAGGATATAGACACAAATGTCTTAGAGCAGTGGCTTCTCACTCCATTCCTTGATAGTATTTAGAGTGCGCAAATAAATGCACGCATGATACACAACAACGATAGCGGTACTAGCGCTTCCGGAAAGGTAGCATAACGTTTCAGCACCGATTTCATTTTTGGCCTAATAAATTTTTATTTAATTACGTACTTACGCCTAAATTATGCACCAAATCGTTTAGTACTTCCTGAATATTTGTTGAAAAACGCATCGACAAAACTAAAGAGTTTGTTTCGTTAGTTAGGGATTTGTTTCATCAGGCGATAAAATGCAAATGGTTTTAGATTTGATTTGCACCGCTTCGCTGAACAGCTGCAGGTTGTAACTGCTTTCGACAACCGTTCTACTTATAAGTTACAAACTTGTGGTTGCAGCCACAAATTACTTACTGTCTTCACGTTTTCAGTTACCGTTTCATTTGTAAACCTGAAGAATAATAATCTTAGTACAGGCAGACAGGTGTTTCTTGTAACACCATTGGGTTTAACACTGTGTACTAATATTATTTCAGTAGTGTCGTTTTGTAAACGCTACACTATCAACTCCACGAACATTTTACCGGCTCATTGCTGTTGTGTACAAATTGAACACATTGACAAATTTTTTGTGAGATACTGTATCTATAATTGTTTATTTAATTAAAACCAACAAAAATAACGTTATCGTCTCAAAGGAGCAAAGCTCTAACAGTTGATGTTGCTTGCACACACCTCTCATCACATTTTACTACTTTAATGTAGCCAAATGACAAACGAATAACCTGCAGACAGTTTGTCCTCAGCAGTCTGAAGTACTCAGCTTAGAAAAACACCTAGGTATCACAACCGATAAACCTAGAAATGTCCAAATCCCAACGTCAGTTTATCATGTTTGTTTTAGAAGATACATATCTAGACTCGGACGTGAGAGTAAAGCCGGATAGAGAGGAACAATCAGGTATGTAATAAGTGAATACTGTTTTTACTATTGTATTTGAGAATCAATGTACTTTGGTTTGTCTCTGTTTCCTCCAGGATAGTTTATTCTGTCGGAGGGAAGAAGCATAGAGTGTTGTCAGTATAACCTGGCAGTAACAACAGTGTTATTGTTTTCTTTCAACCTAAGAGACACCCGTGTGTACATGTATACATGAAAATGTATTGTTCATGGTAGTTTTTCACAGATGATTTACCACTGCATAATGCTATATTGGGGCAAGATGGCTCAAGTATTTGGAGCCGAAAGGTCCGTGGTTCGAACCCGACCTCTGCCTCTCGACTTCCCCTGTCTAGGCTTGGGCAACACGGTAGTATCCCAACCCTCGTGCGCCCTTCGGGTAGCACGACAACTAAGCACCGGAAGTTTGTTACAGATAAACGATGCTTCATGTGCCGCATGAAGATTTCTTGTAAAAAAAATTAAATGAAAATATTTTTCAGGATACACATGAGGTTATCTTCTTCCACTCAGATTTGATGAGTTTTCTAGGTACACTAGTTAGCACAAGGATTTTGTGTGCATTGTGAATAGCTAAATTGGAAATGAGATGGACCCAGGTAAAGCTTGTCTACACCCACCAGCAACCACTCGGTTCGTGTACCAACATATAGGGAGTCAGGATTTTAAACTCGGAACAACTGACTAAAGTTGGTATGCTGTGCAGAATTATTTTGGAATGCAAAAATCCATTTGTGCGCAACTTAGTCCATCAGAATATTTGCGCGGAGCCTGTTCTGGGATCCCATAAATAATTCTCAAACCTGCCTGTATTAAGTTGTGTTATTGTCAACAGGATAAGTAAAAACTAAAATACCAACATTTTCGTTTCTTGCAACTAAGCACAAATTTCTGAATTCTTGAAAAAGACTTCTCCAAAAAGACTTTATGTCCAAATTTCTTTCGGCAGACGTTTTGATAATAATTTTGTTTACAGACATTATTTTTTGGAAGACAGCTGAAAAACATTAGTACACAGAGAATTAGTTTGCAAACGGCAGCGCATAATTCTGGCTGCCTCCTTACGTTTCAGTAAAAAATTATACATCTTCAGCATTGAATAACACCTATCATTATGTGTTTCTCCCTACCAGTGGAAGCATTGATCGTTCATTATGGTGAGGCACTTGTTTGTGTTGCAAGGATTCGTAGTTCTGTATTGAATTGCTCCATAAAAAATCTTTATATAGATTAATTAAATGCACATATGTGCTGCATATGAAATTCAGTAATCCATGATCTCATGGAAACGACGTCGAATAGTAATCGCTTTTGTCATTTCCCTGAGCTACTAACAAGTGCGGAAGTAGTCTCGAATCACGCTAAAAATTGGTGGGGAAAGTGCGGTAATGATCTCGGAACTTTCATTCCATCTATCCACTGAAAAAGTAGTTCCAAACATTAGTGTCCTCCATCCGTTGATTGGACAGCTGTTAATTTAATCAGCGTTGAATCCAATTTACTTTTCTTCCTTAGATGATCAGACTATTTCTATGCGCTTGGGCCCATAATCAGAATATTCTGCCTAGGAAAATAGCAGCTGATGTTTGTAAATGGTTGCCGAAACAAGTGGAATAAGATGCTTTTAAGGTACATTGTTATAAAAATTTTCATCTGTATGTTCTGTAATTCCATGCGCCCAGCATCCCCAAAACTAACTTTCTCGAGACCCAAAATGTCCCGCATAAATTGGACTGAATAATCACGTTGTAGCTATACGAATTGGCCAAAAAGTTTGGTTTTACAACAACGATTTCAGCTAAATTCAACTCGGAAAAAATAAAATAGCTATCACATTTGGTTTTGAGGAATTTTGCACGTTCATTAGTTCCCTAACATGCAACAACTACATTTGGTCGGAGACTTATTTTTTTATGAAAAAAGGATATTTACGTGAAAAAAGGATCATGTTGTCTTGGGCTGATAGCTCTTTCATGGAAAGCCGTGTAAACACTTTTTTGCGCATATTTACGTAGATTTGGGACAGGGCGGCCTAGTGTTCCAAAGTCTTCATTCAATATATACACAAACGGAATAAGCAGATTCAACGACAAGGCCCTTGTCTACCGTATGTGAAAGTGATTGGGCATGGTGTTCAATCTTTCGACATCTCCGTGAGTTGATTCTGTTTGATCCGTGTTGTTCAACCCCCATGGTCATTGAAATATCCAAACATGTAGGGACAAATACTGTAGATGAAATGTGAACCGGGAAAACGAAAAGCGGAACGGCTTGTTATATCCCTGACTTTACATGAGTAAACTAGCTGGTGTAAAGTAGAAAAACACCATTGTCAGAATTGACTGTGATGAAGGTGAGTGACCACCAAATCCCCAAACACGGACATTGAGAGTTTTATTGGATACCATGTTCATATTGCAGTCTGGGTTTCACAAATAGGGCTGTGGTCAAATCGAAGAGATCTCCATTAATGTACCACTAAGGATTATGATGGCTGAAATCTTTATTAGAAACTCAGTTCGGTGGTAGTGCAGTATGCGTTTTTTAAGAAGTTGCTCGTTTTCATCCATACCAAACATGATTTCATCATCTACTCCGTCTTTGATAACGAAACGTACATCGAAAACACAAAATGTCTTTCAATATCAAGCTTTATCTGCCTTATGAAACAACTTCGATTACATTCCTATGCAGTAATTCCCACTTTCGTTATATCCCTTTCTATAATCAAATCAGTAATTGAAAAAAAAGAGCCTGAGTGGCCTATATTGACGCATTTGGTGAGTTTCCTGCTTTGTATGCAAAAATTAATTTGCATGTATATTTATACGGAAAAATCAAGTCTCCAAATATGAATAAAACATCAAAAATATCGTCAACGCTAAACTAATATATATATATATATATATATATANAAAACAAACCTCAAATCAAAAGGTAGCCAAAATCTGATGCTTGTTTTGCGTCATTGCCGTGCATAAATTGCAGTCAATATCACGGTGAGCAGAGCATGAATTTCCACTGCCGATCCATAGGGTGTATCCTGTAAAAATAAAGTGGTCGAATGCAATATAAATGAAGACAATGCACACTCAAAAAATTGAGAGTTCAGACGTCAGCTCTGACTGCTCGCCTGTTTAATGCTTTCGCCGTGTAAGCACACTTAAAACTCAATATAACCAACTAATAAGCTAGCGCAATATTTGCCGACTGAAGTTATAGGCTGCAAAAACCCGGACGCTACAGTCTCATAGTTGTAACCGGCCACAGGTAACGCTGAATGCGATATACCTTAAGAACGCAAATGTCAAAACATGCATAAGGTAAAATATCATCTTAGGTTTTTGTATCAATCCAAGAAGGTAGAATTCATCATATCCAGTTAGTATGTAGTGCTGAAATTGCAGAATTCGTAAAATATGCGCTGTTCATTTACTGTGAAACAACCAGTCTTAATAGGTCCAAGGTTTCTCTTTGCTTATAATTCCATTCTAACCATACCTGCCTTGTGATACGTGTTCCTTTTCAGGCGCTTCATTTGTATGAATTTTACCAAAATCAAGTGGAAGCCAAATTCTTCAGAATGACGGCGTTTGATGACGAAAGTCCCCTTATAGGTGGAGCTGAACTATATGTTGTTCCCGATTTTGCCAAGACGAACGTTTGGATGGCTGCAGTGAAGAGAAGATTTCAGAGGTCGTTTATGTTGCTGCCTTCACTGAATATAGCCTTCACAGTCAGAAGTAAGTATAACGAGACCACTAAATAATCATCCAGTACGTCCAGTGCTGCAGCCAAACTATGCAGTGATATTAGGGGAATTTCTGCCTTATATTAATTGGCTATATAAAGGACGTATCCCGTTGCGTATACGGGAACTTCGCGTGGCAAAACGGCAAGATGAACGCGGTGAAAGTGGAAATATATAGCTACCACCAAACATCCACAAGGTACAACTGTATCATGTTTCCAAAATACTGTACTCAGTACACAGTAATCAGTTATCTGAGCAGTCTCAAATAATCCAAAATAAATAATTGTGAACTGGATGGCACCCTTCACCCTAATACTGCAAGTCGAAGTAAGCTAGGTAAATTTTTTTAACGAAGTCAGTACCGAGTGATTTTTCGAGATCATATGAGCATCCTCATACTGTTTAAAATACCATGGAGATGTTCGTTATCGTGGTTTGTGAAGACAGTACATCTATTGAAGTGTCTTAGAACGAAATTTTTATTGAAACAGAAATTAAAACTGGGAGAGGGAAAAGGCAAGTAGCACTTGCAAGTTTGGATAGCCCCAACGGTTGACGAGGTCTTTGAGGTTTGTAGAAAAGCAACAGTTCTTTGTCCCTCATTGCACTACATGGCAATAATTATGAAAAATAGACGTTTGGTTGGTACTTTGAAATTGAAATGTTGGCTCATCGAAACAAACTCCGTTTCGGTCCCGCCATGCTCTCTAGCAGGCACATACATCCGAGCATAAATGCTCAGAACAGTAATGGGTCAATCAGGAGTCTCCGCGATGGCTCCATTGGGAAAATCAAGTTAAAAATTTACAGGTTAATGTTTGAAGTAAAGTGTACCCGAGACCATAGAGCTTGCACTATGCTCGCCTGCTTTTTCAGACGTATCAAGGACAACGGTCTACAATAGCTCCATATTACTTACCTATGCGATTGCCTTAGTTTCGGAAAAAAGAGCCGATCATGTTAACTGAAAGCCGTTGTATGTGCCGGTAGATGGTCGGCAGTGCCAAGCTGCTTATCTCAAACGGAGTGTTGACTTTTTTGTGGAAAACCGAAAGCGGTCGTAATGTGGATGATGTCTGTGTTTTGTCCGACAAAAGCCACAGTGAAATTGTTGTTCAGTCATTCAACCGCGACAAATAACCAGGGCTGAATTGAGGACAGGTAATCTGCGAACATGTCAAAGTACTGGTAATTGGTCCATTCAGCGGTGTTTGATCGGGTGGACTGTAATCGAAAAGATACCAACAGTGCACAGTCAACTTGTTTTGCTTAGTTTGCGAAAGCTAGCCACTTTTCCTTCGTCCAAGTGGCTGATTGATATGCCCCTCTCTCATAGTTTGACCAGTCCGTTTGTTTTGTGTTGAGGATGCATCTCTTGCATTCAATTTGTTTGTTGAACAGCTCTTCCCTGATGTCTGCATCTCCCGTTCGCACGAGGCCGTACACTATTTGTAGTGAAATGTGGAGTGTTGTGACTAAACTTGACTGAGTATTTTCATATGCAAGCATAATGCCAGCAAACGGAAATCAGAGCATTGCAGCTTTGATTTTCTGGTGGCTGATCAGATGGCAGTTGATCTGTTCGCCGAGCTTGGCAATTGGCTTGCAAACGTTTCGTCCCCAGTCAAGGAAACATCGTCAGTGCGCAGCTGAATGGGCGCTTCCTCCGTGCCTAGCTGCGTTTATGTAGTTTTTTGTACAAAACTACAAACTGCTACAAAAAACACACCCGAGCTACCTATATTTTGACAAATTGACAGCTTTGATTTTCCGCAAACTGTGATCTCCCTCAGACTTCCCATTTGATATCTGCCCTGAATTCTAATCAAATAGAGCATTTTTACTTCATATTATCAGTGTGCTCGTCGATCAGCTCAGGAAGCCGGAAATTATCTTACAAGGGTTTGGCACGCCAGAGAGAAGAGAGCGACATTAGGGTCATATATTTTCAAATAGCATCTAATATCTTTTCATGTGATCAGCTAATTCATATGCACCTTTACTGCGAACATATAGGCCACTGTTCTGCATATCTTTCTTTTAATTGGTCTGCTAGACTGCTTCATTTCGGTAGTTCATGTGACTTTTCCGATGACTGAAAGATTGCCAGCAACTTGCGAAGTTTACCAAACACATCAGCAGTTATCGAGGCAACCAACAGTTGTTTATTGCTGTTCAAATATTCTAGATGAACAGGTTTCCACAGGCTGATTAATGTATGTGGTAAAAATCCTTTTTCCGTTTATGCGTGAGATACTTAAAGGCGTGAAAAGTTCATGATGTGCAATCAGTAAACGTCGATAACACCAAGCACCTGGACAAATGTTCAGAATCAGATCCTTCCGTAAAGTGAGCAAAATAAAACTTTCGGGGTTAAATGGTCGTAGAATTTGTCGGAACGTTGAGTTAAGTTTATCTACTGGAACATTTGGGTCCGCAAACCACACATTCGGTATAACTTTATAACATGAATTCACAGGTAGAATTACCAAGTTAGATCATTGACGTAGGGAAAAAGTTTGATTTTCTCTGTTGAATGCTAGTCTGACCTTTTTATTGTTTTGGAACACAAGCCTGTCCAGCATGGCTAAACACAACTAGATCACTATATTCCCCCAGGATTTCTAGTATATTATCCTTGTGGGCGGACTCAAGCTGTTAACGCCTAAACATGCGCACATTTTGGCACGTTGTGGTAACCACCTAATGCCGGAACTTAGCAACAAATGCGTACACCTTGATAACGCAATGAAAAAAATGGGTTATTCATTGTCCATCCTCAAATGCGGAGTCCTAATGCTGTGCGCAGATAGTGTCAAGCTGACGTTCTGAGTGCTATCAAGTTCAAATAAAAGCTTCCCCGGTATTGTGATCATTCCCAGAGGTGCAAAAACAAATTGTTCCATCCACAAGAATAGCCACAACGCCTAACAAACATGCATTGCATCTCCCATACTGGAAAAGTTATGCAACCTACGTAACAAAAACTGGCGAAACACTAAAGCTCCAGTGACCAAGACAGACAAGTACAACCATCACATGTAGACGTCTCAGCTAAGCGAGCCAGAAGAAGATCCACCATGGAGATAGACACTGGGTTTTATGAATTTATAACAACTGGGGTGTACACAAAGTATATTAGGTTCTTAAAACCAACATCATCTGATTACTTAGTGTCTTACTTTCTGATTAGATTATCACATGCTTGTTCTCAAATATTTGCCAATTTTTTGTTACATCTGTTCATTTTGGCGCATAATCTCACTTTATTTTTTTGCAGAATCTCGCCGAATATGCACCTTTGGGGACCCTAGTGCCCTTCAGCTGTGTAAGTGCATATCTATTTGATGCCGAGGCGAATTAAGATGACATTAATCCCACAGTGGACATGTTGACAGATAGTGGGACCACAATAATCCGGAACAGTACAGAGTGCTAACACTATTTAATTTGATGCCAGAAATAAAGTTTTGTCAGTTGTGACCCGAAGTGGTTGCGCACCGCTTGAGCAAGCCAAACAACAACAAGATAACTGCTGATTCCAAAGTATGCGCAACGAGCAGAAAAAAATATTGGCTCTTCAGTAATGAAGCGTGGGGAGCAAATCAGAAACCAAGCAATAAAGATAACCGATCCACGGTTCATAACACTGTCAAAGTAATATTTAATATTATTATACAGTATAATAGCAATAATAATTCTAATTCTAATAATATTTAACAATAATAAAATTGCTGTAAAATTATTCGAAGGTTTCGAGTGCAACACAAAGAATACAAACACAATTATCAAGGAAACATGTTCAGAGGAACATCCTGTCAGATTGTCACAACATGTACGTACACTGCGACACGGTTATTTTTTCATTACTTTGGGTTCCCCTTTAATTTTAGACTTCATTCTGGAAGCTCATTTGGACCGCAATTCTAACCACAACGAGTGGCGTGATCTTCAAGATGAGAGGTCGGAAGCCTATGAAAAATTTATGAATGCAACATTTGAATCGGTATGTGCCAATGAATTGAAACCCGGAGCCTCTTAAAGTAAATGATAACAGCTTTTCACAAAAACGTCATGCCTGTTAGGAAAGCCCAAAGTACCGAATAACCACGCGTCTGGTATTGACTGATTTTATTATTACATAAGTCAGTAGATGTTTTTATGACTTGACCGTATCTGTTCTTCGAATTCGATATAGGCTTTTGTCACCTCATTGGCTCAGCTCATTCACAGATAGATTTGGTTCTACAGAATATTTAGATTAGTCTTCTGTGGTAGACACTTGCCTTTGATTAGGCAAGACATTGATGATAACTCAAAATGCCGTGATACCACTCCTTACCTACAAACGTTCATGATGATCTGTCTACCAACAGCATAACGACATAATGGCTGAATTCTAATTGCATCACTTCATCTGACCAACTAGATCAGGTCTGGCTTATAAATAAGGTAAAATTGCTGAAAGAGGTTGACGGGTCGGGGAGTTCTTCGGGGCGTATTTTAAACTGTAAACCCAACGACGGAAACCAAAACGAGCACTTAATCATGATCTTTAGATGATGATTTCTAAACCAGGTTTGTTGTAAACCAACATAGCGTAACGCGCCTTTAATCGACACCTGCTTGCCCTCAAAAGTCGACATACATTGTGGTTTTCGAGCAAAAAGACCAGTTACCTTCCTTGTAATCAGCCAGTTAATGTTAGCCGGGGTTTCTTTCACCTTATTCGCGTCTCTCTACATTTCTTCATAACTTGTCATGTACGTGTAAATGATCAAACTGAACTGGCATAAAATTCTCTTAAAATGTGTTAGTATTTTCCTAAAAACAGTCACCGGAAACCAGTAATATTTGCTCAATTATTTTCACCACTATACATCATTTGAGCCACGGCAGACTGACCTTTGCTTATGGTGTACTTGTGAAATTGAAATCAGAACAAAATTCCCGTTTTACATCCGATAAGCTGCTCTGTTCGCCGGGATAACAAGTGACATCCTGAAACTTAAATAATTAAACGCACACAATTGCGCCTCAATGAGTTATTGCATGGTATCTGGTTATCCAGTTGTCATATTGAGAATTGGGTGATAATAGACCACAAATGATCACATGAATTCTGACTGTCCGCATTTCACATGGATTAGCCCGGTAAAAAAATCTCCGGAAACCCTAATCAACTAGTTTGGAAGCTGCAAACCATTTGACACACTTCAATCAAGTGCAGCAGAGAAAAACAAAGTATAAAAACCCATGATTCTAAAGTAAGCCAGCAAATGTCTCAGAGTGAATTTACCCTTTGACCGTTTGATCGCGCACCGAACAAAGTTGAGATTGGGTCGACCGAGCCTACGTCGGTAGAAAATTAACTTCCTAATAAATGGGTTCGTTAGACCGAAACTTCAGTTGAAATTGGCACTCTTCCACATGGCCCCTCAGACCTCGGTTCATCCAAACTGACGGGCTATTCATTAGGTGTTTTAGGCCAAGAAATCTTGGTGCATGCACAATAAATAAACCTGTTGCTTCTATTTCAGCCAGTCATGAAATGCACAATTTATCTTATCCTTTAAAGTACTCTTTTTGCTTGCCTTCAATAAAGAGTATCCTCATATTTTAAAGTAAATTCCACTTTTACGCGCTTTTTATATCTTCGGTTCAGCTGTATGTGACTCTACCTAAGCTCCAAAACATTAAAAGTGAGCTGCGTCGTCTGAGTTTGGATTCTTTCAAAATCGACAAAAATGGTAACGTCAACGCAATGCTTACACTTATCATGGACGTGGCTCACTTGAAAAAGATTGGTACTCTGGAGCGCAATTTTCCGATAGCGTCACGCATTCGAGATGCGGTACTAGTCGCAGGCACAAATGACATCCCCGCAACAATTGATGTAAAAGGTAAGTATATCTTATTAGGTCATTCAAATTAAAAGTCATTTAAAATTGACGTACCTGGATATGTA